GGCCCACGCCAAGCCCGGCCTGGGCGAGCCCGCCTGCTCCGTCTACTCGGTGAGCCACGCTTATTTATTTGCATGGATGCAACGGTTTGGGTGGCTCAGGGCATCAATTGATGTCACTACGGTGCCTCTGACCGCTGGGGCCTGGGCTTTCGAGACCCGACGATGGCAGGCTCTCTGATCGGTAGTTTTTCGCTGTTTTTTCCGATCAACACCAGAGGAATGCCAGAGCAGTACCCTACCACACGAGCCAAGGACCCAACACGGTCGTTCCTTTTTCTTCTTTGTCCTATCCTCTCCCTTACACACACCAACTCCTACATCAATATACTATCCCTCCAGTCGGGAGCTCAGAGCTTGTCCGGGCTGGGGCGCTGCCCTGCTTGTGGTTGGGGAAATCCCCGTTAGCCATCGTGTAGGTTAACGCCGGATCTCCCTATCCCACGGAAGATCAGACACCTCCCGAGATAATAGCACGTACTACACTTATGGGAATAATGAACTCGAGAAGTTGTCAAGCACGAAAACACTAATCTATATATAAATGAATAGATGGATGTACTTGGCATTTAGTGTCATATTAAACAGACTTACGCCAACTAGCGATTTTCCCAAGCCTGGCCCTGTTTTTATTTATTGTTTTCACCTGGGGGTAAGAATGACATGCTGCGAGCATGACGTATTTCTATCACCGTACCTGGCTTATTTGGCCTGCCTGAGCTTTCTTTCGTCACACACCTATACAAACCGAGACTTTTTGTATTAGAAAGTCACAGGTTCATTTATGTCGCGTCTGGGAATATAATTTGGAACCGCCTCACAAAACTAGCATGCTGTTCACGAGTCGCCCGAAATGCTATTTATATATTTGATTGATTGTTTATCGTCAACAACTGTATGTACCGTCTGTGGAGAAAAGTACATATGGGGGAGAATCAGTTTTGCACGGTTTTCTAGAGCTCCACACATACATCCCTCACTCTTTTTTCCATTGAATTAGGAATAAATGTACCGGTAAACGTGTTTGAGAGCATTTGAAAACTAGAAATTTTCGCTCCCGAGAAAACGAAAATGTATTTGTATTCTCACGCGAAATACCGATTTGATTTTATGGTATTACGACAAAATAACAAACCCAACCGGCCCTACTACTCACGCAACGAGCAAAAAGAGAGCTCAATAAAACTTGCGTACAGTGAAGCTGCCTTTTCCTTGCTTCTAGCCCAGCAATGCAATAAGGTGGAGCTTTCGGAACACACGATGCGTGGCGTCCTGAGTGCAAGGGGGCAACCGAGAGAAGATAATCTATTTATTTTCCTTGTAAGGTTAAGGTACTTTAGGGACATTATTATAAAATGAATTTTGCAATGATATTGATTGCTGAGCCATAAGAATCCATCATTAAATTATTTTACTCTCTGATTATTTTTATTTGTTGTATCGTTTAGATTGTATAGCTCGCGATGACGCACCGTAAGTTGTTTCTGAAACTCGCCTCTGAAAATCACCACCGCAGATTGGTCGAAACGCTGCACTATCAGCCTCGAACGCTGAAGTTTTCCGAGCTTGACGTCCACGAAGGTCTAAAACGCAGCCTAAAATGTGACGCCTCCAGAAAGCTGACTTCATAAATTTATTTCATTTCTGCGAAATGTGTTCCATTGCTAAGATAATAAGACGTAAAGATATTGAAATTGTGCAATATTCGTTCTCTGATAGCACTCGTTAAATCAATGAAATATTAATTACTTGCGCAATAAAATTTAGTATTTAGGTATTTCAAATTTCTCGCTTCCTTTACATCGCGGCAACATAAAATAATGTGATGTCCTAGAAAATAAATAATTTTTATCACTCGTGCACGAAAGCAATTTCATTCTCTGGTACAAGAAAACTTGATTTTCATTTATTTTTTAAAATTTCATTAATTAACCAAATCGGATCTTCTTGACATGCAACCAGACGCCGAATACTAACGCACATGAATTGCGACCTTCAAATCTGCTGGAGCATTGGTCTTAGTGTTGTCAAGAGTTTGCAACCGTGTATGGAAGCCGTACAGTCGTGAAATTTATGCTATGATAGAATAATGAAGAAAGAGAAGAAACTTCACGTGCAAATATGAAACAAAACTCTCAACCATTCCCACTAACCCTACCAAAATCCTCATATATTCGCAAGTCTAGCAATGATCGTTGCGAGTCACCTGGCTGCCAGAAGACCTTTTCTATTTCGGATCCGTCCAATAACGCGATCTAACCTGCTGAAGTTGAATTTACACACCAAATGTACAAGATAATTATTTCCTTTGGTTGGAAAGGTTTAAACGACGTATATATTAAATTAGGATTAATCCTACCCAAACCCATTTAATAAACTATATTTAATCTTGCCTTTCTTTAAAAAAATCCTTTCGCTTCCATAAAAAGTACCCTTCAACTTCCTTCCACCATCACGAGCCAGAACAACATGAGCAGTTTTGTTCGTAACGATCGTAGATTTCTGTTCCGGACCTTTACAGCACCCAACGTATCGGCGCCACTGCAGTTCTGAAGAGGGTGAACCCGATTTTTATTTCATCATAAAGCTGCCCTCTTTATATTTCCTTTTTTGTTGTAGCCATCCCCCAACCTGAACATCGCGTATCCCCTCCTAGCGATCCTGCTCTCCGAGATAACGCAGGGAGATCCTCTTACAACACAGAGACCTTTTTAAAATTATTTTAAAAAATGAGATATAAAATATATTGTAAATATATTTTGCAAATTGTTAAATATTAGGTAAATATGATACAAGCAATTAGTGGAACAGTTCAATGACTAAAAAATTTCAGTTTGGGGAAAAGGTATCCTAGTTGTACAATACATTTCATAATCTTCTGCGTCTAAGCAAACAAAGACATGTTGGTTTTCATTGTTGGAAACTGTTGAGATTAGGAGGCTTATACGCCTAAAATATTCACCCTGCGACCATATAACCTTCCCATTTCACATACATTAAATCAGAAAGTAATTAACTGGCACTCACATCATAAACCCTTCAAATACCTCGTATACAATGGATACACAATTAAACTGGAAACGGCATATAAATATTGAAATATTCCAGGCTAAAGCAAAACTCTACCACGTAAGTCCAACAATAAACAAGTCATCCATACTTCCATACATAATTAATCACTAACTATATTTAAATCTGTAATTACACCACTCCTATTATCCGCTTTTCCAGTTTTGGTAAGTGCTGCAAGATCGAACACAAAGAAATAAGTCTCGTTCAAAACCAGTTTCTCCCAATGATTACAAATGCACTATGGTTTATTTCCAACCAGCATCTGCACAATAACTTCCAACTTCTATCAATAGAAAACCACATCACGTACCTCTCCATACAGTTTTACAATATCTTACCTGATATCACTAGAATACATCCCCTCCGGTTAGGCAAATATCCCACTCATCATACCCGTATAAAAAGTAAATTTCCCTTCTATGCCATCCTCACGTGCTTTCCGAAATGTAACTCTCCTGAGGTCGCCCCATAAAGGATTTCTCCCCCCAAAATCCCAAAATGTTATTTTCAGAATTAAATTATTAGTATTAGGTATATTTAAAGTCAACACTACAAATGTAGAGTGTGGATTGACCCTTACAAAGCCTGAAAATGTTTATAATAAGAAACAAACTAGTGGTGCTACAGAAAGACGCAGACTTTCTCGTAGTAAAGTTCTCTAATTTCCTTGGTGTAGACTGGCCTTACGGTCTTGCCCCCATCCTTTTGCCAGCTGCCATCTATCGCCGCCCAAAATACATTTTTTTTACATTTCTTTACTATTCCGTTTCCTAATATAGAACTGAAATATTATTTGAAGTATATTAAAGAAGAGTAAAACCTCGTCTTAAATGTCAATTTCTATTGAAATGTTTCAAGCAGATTTTAAGAAAATGGCGAGTAAGCGTTACTGTAAATGCAAAAGTTGAAGCT